GGAAGGTGATCTTCTGCAGCTGAATGACAGGATCTGGTACCAACCAACAAGTTAGTTTGCCGGTTTTTCTCCTACCAGGAATCTCCCATCAGTAGGGCACAGCCCCAGCTGGAACAAGCTCTAAGCTCTTAAGTGTGGTAGTGTAGTGCATGTGAGTGTGTGTGTGTGTGTATGTGTAAGTAAGGGGCGAAGAGTGGACAAGGAAGAGGAAGGGAAGATCGCAGGCAGTTCATTTGATTAGGATCCTGCTCTGGCAGTTGCCTGGTGTGGGTTGGAGAAACCATGTAAAACTACCAATCAGAGCAGCCAGACACTAGAATTCTCCTCGAAACAGAGGCGGAATTTGACCTAGTGATCTAGCTACTGTCGAAAAATTCTGCCACCTCAGAATTCAAAAGCACTGCAATGATATCAATTGATGCCCTGATCACCCACACTGATAAGAAGCTTTAAAATGATCTTACTCACGAAAAGAAAGTGTATGATGTATAAAAATACAACTTTTAATACTTTCAACATTCACTAAAAAAATTTAAGACAGTTTTATCAATATGTTAGCATTGCATTTTCAAATAAATCCACAAATTGTACAATACACTTTCAAAGCTCTGCTCAGGCACGCAGGTATGTCTTGTCTGAGGAGATTAAGAAGGCTTTTGAAGTTTTCCGAAGCTAAGGTTTTACTAAGCTTTGAAGTTTGAACTCGGATGGGAATGAAGGTCTCAGAGGCTAGTAGACTTCCAATTTTGTAATTCACAATATTTTTCAAATTATAAATCACATATTTCGTTATTAAATTGAATTTTTTTGAACAATTACCGACCTCGCATTCAAAATTTGTTTATGAAATTCGGTGGATGGGAGTTCGCAACTATATCTTACGGGGTTAGGTTATAAGATAACAGACATATAATATTGTTTGTTATCTAACAGCCAAGTTTGAAAAAATGTTGAACTAGTGGATATCTACATATAACAAAAATTTAACAAATATATCTTTTATGGGTGATAAACATTTGATCATCAATTTTTTTCTTAATACTTATTTGCAAAAAGCCTTGGAATTTTGAATCTCTAGTCATTTTCTAATGAGCTTTCATGAGAAACTTCAAATAGATTCTAGGTTTTTCTACTGTATCTCAGTATTACATAAGTGCATATGCAAGTAATGACTGATTGAGTGGAATGTGGTAAAAAATTATAAAATGTTTATCCAAGTACTGAATTGTTCATCAACGTAACTACTAGTCTTCTTAGTGTTGAGATGACCATGTGTTGTAAAGAACCAAAATGCCATAAACAGACAATATTATTATAATATTACAGTTAAGAGCATTCTAAAAACAACTTGTACCGTATCAAATATGCAACATTTACTGAGAGTGAAAAATAAAAGTCACAGTGCTTCTATAAACTACTTACAGCTAGACAAGAATTGCAACAACTCGTAGTTACTTCGTTTAACACCCTGGAAGACAAAGTTTTTTTAAAAAAAATCTCAGTATGAGAGGATGACTCATACACATTCCAGTAATAGTGCTTTCTGTTCGGATCAGTGATAAAAATTTTGGATAGAAGGAAAGGTTATGCTAGAATACTAGGACTGCCCTTTAAACTCCATTGCTGTCCTAAACTGACCAGTTATCAAAAAAACTAGCACATACTTAATGCTCCAACCTCAGGGGGGGAATCCAGCCTCTTTTTGAGATTTCAACTCGTCTCAAATTCACTCACTACATTGACCCTCACTTATTCATTTTGATCTAAATTTTTAACTTTTATAACTCTAAATAGTTTTATAAATATCTTTAACAGGCAACTCTTCCAGGGATACTAAAACCAGTTATCGTCAGTCATATGTAAGCTTAGTAACACTTAGGTTCAATCTAAGCAATGAGTACCACCTGACAGCGATGAATTGGCAATTTTTTGAAAACTATTTGTATAAAATACACAAAAACACAAGGAAAACAAAATTTTGTTTCATGTGCTTTAATGTTCAGTCTTTGTAATAAATATTTGTGTCAAAACTGTCTAGTTATACCTGTTTCCTAATGTGATGATCATTATTATTATTATTATTATTATTATTTTAACTAAAAATCAAATCATAAAACTATAGAATTAAAATTTGTAAAATCGTGTCCTCTCGCAAACCATCACATATGAGTTCTGGGTCAATTCACAGTGCAAAAAAAATACTGTAGGTGAGTCAGCAAACAAACAAAGTACATTGTAGCTTTCTTTGCTAAATATCACAATAGAAAACTAGGCCACAACTAGAACGCATATTTATTATTTGCTTGGCTACTTCAATTCTCAAGAATTATCAATCTTGAAAAAAAATTGGCAAAATTATTGATTTAGTGTTGTTGTTTCTTTGTTTGTATTAATTTGTATCCCGAGAGATGATTTGTTTTTTGCAGAGCAGTAATCACACTGGTAGTTTGTTATCATTCTGAGAAGAAGCAAAAGGAATAATGTTGACAACTCACCAGAAAACAATGCATCTCCCAAACAACAAAGTTATTGACTTACACATGGAAGCTTTAGTTTTTCTCTTTTGTTAGGTTCTCATTATAATATCAAATGGCTTATTTCTATTATACAAGGGAAGAGACCAGAACATGGCCTATCCCTCACGTGGATCTCAAAAGAACCGAAGATGTTTATGAACTCAATTCTATTTAAATTAATACAAGACATTTTAACAGTCGTTGTTTAGAAGTTGGAAATGGGTATTTGTCTAAAGACAAAATTATTTAATTTTGATTTAAATGTTTCTTCAAAACACAAGAGTACTAAAGAATTTGCCTTTTTGGCCATTTCTGATTTGATATACAGATTACAAATGTATTTAATTAAAGAGTCATAATATGTTCCCAACAAGAAATGTTAAAATCAAAATGTTTATAATCATCGATGTCCTCATTACGTTTGCATGAGGCCACTAAAATAATGGAAAAATTGAGTCATACATTCACTAACAGTTGACAATTTCAGAAATTTTACTATTGGTCCTCAAAATGTTTTCTCTACGAAAATATGAATTCTTGTTTGATAAAAATATAAATCAACTTAATACAGATTAGTTCTCTGTTAAGTGAATTCAATTTTAAAAAATTTAAATATTGGCCATATTTAAAACAAGTTAAACAAATGTTATGTTCTATGTTATAGACTAAATCAGAGGCAGGCGACATACAATCTAAAGACCGGTTCCACCTCACCTTTAGAAGTTATCATTAGAAGTACATGGTCCCATAACATATACTAAAATTTTTTAAATTTGGAGAGACAATGTAAATTGCAAAGATCCTATTAACCCAATAACTATTGTTTTCTCATTTTAAATCTTTACAAGGGAATTTGCTGATGCTTATTACCTCAGTTAAATTCACATGTGTGCACGAAAAGCTGAAAATTACAAAAATTAATATGGCACTGCCTCACCCTCCGAACTATAATTTGGGTTTATTAGATACTAACTATTTCATTAACAGAAAAAAAGCATGGCAACTAAAAAGTGCATGATTAAATGTCACACTCAAACTCCTTGCAGTCGTGGATTTCTGGTCTCTGGGTTAAACTCAGTCGCCCACCTCTTTCCTACAAACTAAATGCTCTTTGTAAACAGTCAACAAGAAAATTCAACAAGATATAACTGCTGCCAGTATACACTTTCTCCTTTCAGTCTCATAACACACTATATGGACAGATTGTCCTATTGTCTGAATGTCAATAAATATACTTTAGACACAATTACACACAACAACCATAAACTGTGAATACATGTATGTTACACTAATAACTACATTCTGTGCTCAAAATGACAAACCCTTCTCACAAGCTTACACACAAAGTTCACATTACACATGGGACTGTTCCAAAACACATACCACTCACGTTAACTATGACTACATTAACAACATCGAAAAAGTATTCTGTGAGATTTCAATAAAGAAATATTGTGTAATGACAAATTTTTACACAATTTTAGAAAGGAGACGGTCAAAAGACCTATACATACAACAAATAAAAACAATGGTTGGTTCTTAAGTACATCCTGAACATGAATTGAAAATTTTAAATTATAGTTTAAATTTTGGTATTTAATTATGAACTTCAGTTACTATATCCTTTGAAACAATACTGCTGCTTCTCAATCAATAGAAGAGAAGATAATTTTTTTTAAAGACCTGTGCACACTTCCACAAATAGCAAGAGAGAATAAGTAAATTATCACTTTTCACAGGCTCATAATGACGAGGTTCTATCTGAAATATTTGGCAAAAATTATATTTTGACATGTTTGATATCTGTATAATCAGATATACAACGTATTAAAATTATTTTCAAATCAGCCTTGTAGAAATAATTTTATGTACAAAATAACTTAGAAATTTGCTAATCATTATTAGACATCTCTAACTTTGAAAATGCTATCTTGCAAAATTTTCACAGCCAAATATAATTTTGTCATTCTGAATTAGCAAATATGTGATCAAAATTTGCATGTGCTATTCTTCCATTACGAATACAATTTTAATAATCAATTAAACACTAACAATTAATTACTAAGCATTAATGACTAATCAAATACTTTGCATACTGAAATAATTTATGGAATTACTCATTGAAAAGTTTTTCCAAAAGCAAAACATTATTAGTTCTTCAAATTTTTGTACTATTTTGTCAAATAATATGTCTCACAGAATAGAACTAATATCTTACATTACTACTGTTTCAGAACATCACATTTTCTGCAATTCTGCAGGCTATGCTGATTCAAACAGAAACATCCTGAACATATAATTTATCTTTCTTTCTCACTCATTAAAACTTGCATCAGCTAATCTAGATTAAAATTTCAATCTCAACTTCTCAAAGTAATCTAGAAGCAAAAAAATGTGGGGCTTGTGTGCCATATCTCAGCAAGTTCCTGTAAGTACTTGTAAGAAGGTTATATACAATTTGCACAGAGCAACAACTAAATTAAACTAATTTTCTTGTTGGCTATCAGCAGGCTTTTTTATAAGCTTGTTGATCAAATTATCAATCATATCAGCATCAACCAAACCAATGAATTTATCTTCAACCTGTCCATTTCGAACAGCTATAACGGCAGGTACAGCTTTGACTTCAAATGTATGAACTAACTCAACATTTTTTTCCACATCAATAACAGCAAGATGTACGTTCTCTAGAGGACTAACCAGTTTCTCCAGACGTGGAGTGAGAATTTTGCAAGGCTCACACCAGTCTGCGTGGAAGTTGACAATGACAGGATCTTTACTGTTCATGACTTTCTTTTCAAATTCATCATTACTGTTGATGACAAAAGATTTTGTTGAAGGGCATGTGCAGGAAAGAGCTCGTACACTGTTTGTCATCAGTTGAGAGAAGAAGCCTCGATGCAGAATTGCTGTTTTAGCAAAACACCTCAACTGGCTTACCATTAGGCCAACAGATGCCATCCTTTCTCGAAGACAAGAAGTGCACCTGAATGAAAAACTATTTTCTAGTTATTTACACAGGTTTATATGAAAGTTTTATGAAATTACTTCACAATTTCCACTCTTTTATAGGTTGGGCCAGTCGTGGTTCCATAAAATGTGTTACCAACACAACTACAAAACCAGCAAGAGCTGAAAGGCCCAGGAAGATTACAATGAGTGTCCTCCAAATGAAGAAATGGTCATACAACTGAAACAAAAAAGTAAAGATCAAGTTAGCAAACATACCACATTACTTCATATCTGAAGTATATTTTTTTATTTATTAGAGCAAAGTAAAATGGGTAATTTGTCAATTTGAAATCAGTTGAAGATGTAATTTATTAAATAAAAAAAACTAACAGTTGTTAATAAAATGGTATTTCTTAATCTGCCTTCAATTAAAATTCTAGACTGTTAATAAATGCATAATATATTACTTTCTTTTAACTTCTACCAACAACCTTTTAAATCTTGAGAAAATATAACTGAAAATTTATGTAAGTGATCATGAATATATCTGCATTATTTAATTAAAGAGTAAAATAGAACAGTATATATGATTCATAAGCACTGATTTAGCCAACACTATAGAAATCAACCATCAAAGAAAATGAGAGTTTTGGTTTCTCATCAATAACATGAAATGAATTATGTTCATTTCACAATTCTAGGAAAGTAAAATAAATTTCAACAATAGAGAAGTGTGAAACATAACAAGTGGAAAAGTGAGGGTGTAATTTTAAATACTAAAATACATTTTAAGGGGGAAAAAAGTTTTGAAAATATTATGATCAGAAAGTTGTGAACTTCACTTATTCTACCTCAACCCAGCACACATCATGGAAAAACAACAAATTAATAATTTCATCCATGCACTAAAAATGACAGAAGAAAATGTAGATTCAAAAGCACTTCATTACCGTCACTCATACAAAAAAGATGTGTGAGAACTCGTGCACGAAGGTGTCAAACGCGTGCTCCTGCCTACGATGACGTACAGTGTGCTGTAATGCGACGGAATTTTATGGCTTACCTTGAACACGGGAGGAGCGGGGTTTTCTGACTCACGAGGAATGAGGACGAGAATCAAGGTCACTACTGCGGCAACTACTATAACAATGAGTCCGAGGTTTTTTTGGGTCCGTAAGGATATTATGCAAAGAGCGATCGCGACAGTCCACAAACTTATGATAAGGAACAATCCCACTCCAACGCCGAGGACATAGGTAGTCATGACCTAAATCGAAGCACGGCATGCAAAAGGAAATGAAACCGCCGGCACAGGCGAAGCGAATGTAAACATAAACATCACATTCTTAGGTTATTTACCTCATCAATATAATTCCTCGATAAATGTTCCGGCGATACGTGACCAAATCGGATATTAATAGATTTTACCCCTACCAGCAATTGTCAGTGAGCTCATACCTTTCTTGCATCATAATACCACTCCCTTTTGTAATATTTGTTTTCAGTCGGCTGCATAATTAAGTTATCCGTATTTTTCGTTTAGCGCTACAGTTTGGAAAGCATACAAAGTAAATATTAGCAAACTATCTTTGCTTTTTTAAAATATTTTCTGCAATGATATATTACTACGATCCATGTGGATATGGTGGTGACATTGAAATGGAAAACAAATGAATCGAGAGCGGTACCGAGCGGTAAATGAAGTGTGTGTGCCCGGTGTGTCTCTCTTTGAGAATTGTAAAGTGTTGTCAAACGTTTATTACGTCACTTCGACGATGCATTTATGAATAACTTTAAGAAGTGAAACTTCTCGGAAATATCGAAGTGATTGTGGTAGTGGGTGTTCCTTATTACCCAAATTCCGGTATTTCTAACCTGCAAATCTGGATGTCTCGGAGAGGACAATGATTGCTGCCTCCGAGCCTCAGGTAACAGCCTTTTGCCCAGAGTAATGATAAGTAACGTATAATGTCGATGTGGGAACTACCTTGTGATATTTTATTAAACTCTTGACGTAGAATTATGAGTTGTTATTGGCTTGTGTAGATGAGGTTAGTTTACATCATGTTATTAAAATAGTATTGTCAGTTAAGTCAATGTCAGATCAGTGTGTTCTTGTCTTATTTAGTATTCTGTGTTTACCTCTTTTTAGGTGAAAGTACTTGTTAAGTAGAGGCAATTTGATGTTATTTAGTTTCGTCATTACATGTAAAACAAAATAGGAAAGTGTCTTTCCTTCTAAATTCATTCTTTAATAAATAACATTATTTTCTGCCCTAGATTTTCATTGGCAAAAATTTTTGAAGATTTGTTTCAATTGAGTATAATTGCATCTGAATTACTATCTGTTATGGATGCATTAAGAATTCATGTGGTCCTTACGCAATATTGTTTCACACGATAGTTCAATTAATAAAATTAGTAATTTTGTAAGTGAAAATTTTTTGATTAAAATCAAGTACTTACAGAACTGTTTTCCAGCTTTGAGAACTTCTTTTTCCAGTATTATTTCCAAGATTCATGTTGAGGGTTTTTATTCTTTCATATTTCATGGTAGAACAAAACATGGTCATTTATTTCCAGCTCAATAAACCCATAAATGCCCAATGAGGCCTGGCACATTATATATTGTCCTATTTACAGTTTCTCATGACAGTAATGGACTTGAGGGGATTATTCTATTCATGCATTTCTTTCAGGTATGCACACCTGAAAGTATAAATGATGTAAGCTGCTTAGAGTGGAGTTACTGGAATTTTCGTTCATTGCAACCATTTTTGCACAAATCGAAGTTTCTGTGCTGGGCTGACTTAATGCTCTTCAAACAAATGTTGTAGGCTGTAAAATAGTTTTTGTTAATTTTTTTTTCCTTTTGTTGTTGCCTTTCCCATTTTAATAATGATAATGATTCTAATAAAATATTAAAAAACAATAATAATGATAATATTCGTAATGGTAATGATGACAAGCATTTTTCTTATTGGTAGTGAGGTTTGGGCAATAAGGTCTGCTATTCCACATGGTCAATCACATGAATGAAGATTGGAGTATGAAATTTATTTATTATCCCTTATGTTCCCAGGGAATGGTAATTTTTTCCTTATTTTCTTTCAACTTTTGCAAATTTACAATCTGTTTATTTTTGAACGTTTAGTAAATGGTATTGAAAATCAAAGAAATAAATAATAACAGTTGCTCTTTTAAAATAATTAGTAGGTCTAAAATGTTTTTTTTCTTTAAAGTTACATGTTGGCTATTGTCCAGCAAGTCAATTTGTAATTATTAGTGTGTTCTTTAAATTGTTAGTGATTCTGGGCACATCAACTACTAGACTGGGGTAATTATTCTCGTAAGTGTAGTGCATGTTTTGGCTCGGATGTGGTCTTTCCCCCGCGGTATGGCGCTGATGTGTGTGTGTGTGTGTGTTTATATATATATATATATATATATATATATATATATATATATATATATATATTCACACACACTTGAAATAAGGCCATGTAAATTTTTCGACTTTTCGTGTAATTTTGTGTGAAAGCACGGGCAAGAAACTACGAGGTTTTATCCCACTAGTTTCCAACTGCTATATATTATAAAAAGAGGAGTACATTACCATATAATTTGTTAATGTTTCAAAAGTAAAATCGTGTAAAATAATTCAATTCTGACACGTTTGATGTTACATACCGCCGCCCCCGCCGCCGTACTGAACATTTCCTGTCATTAGCGTCACCTGTCAGAGGCGCGCAATATTCAAGGTCCTTGCAGTAGGGGTGCGACATCGATGTCTTCAAAACATCGATGTTTTTGTAGAAACATGTATGTAATAGGAAGTTTTTGCTACCTCGAACGTTAAAGCGCTATCGATCTCCTGCGCATGTGCAATTCAAGTCTCGCATCACTCGTGCATCTGCCCATGCGCAGAAGATAGATAATGCTGCCGCTATTGCGTGCGCAAACTCCCTATTAACGCTGCTTGCAGTACCTTCGTCGACCAAACTCTCTCGTCCGAGATGACCCCAATGCTTGTATTTCCTCCTTGTATTTTCGCACATTGAGATGTCGCCATATACGCTGTGGGCATAGGGTCTGCCCTTTCTCGTCCCCGTATTCGACGAATTGATAAACACAAACACCGACAAATTAAATTGTAATACACACGAATTTAATGTTAGAGGTTACTAATCCAGTCTAAAAACATCGATGGTTTTTAGCCTATGTATTTTTAACATCGATGTTTTGTAATCGATATCGCATCACCACCTTGCAACAGGTGGCCTTGTTCCCGCCCCACTCCGAGGCGGCGCGAGTGGTACAGCTTGTCTGAGAACGTAGGAGTCAGCAATTACTTGGCTGTCCGGCGTCAAGCCCTGACAGCCAAGTAAGTACAGCTTGACGGTGACCCCTGAGGGGAAAACAGCAAAGTTGTCTGTACCACCGAAGTGGCGGGTGATGACATTGAGTTAGGAGAAATGCCCAGAACAATAAAGCAGCCAGTGCAGCGCGGAAATAACCCGAGGCTTTGTGCAGTGCGACGAGACCGCAGCGCCGGCGTGTGAAAAGCCAGTCGCTGACCGCCATGTTGTATGGAGAGCTAGAAACATTTTGAAACGGACATGAAGTGACAATTTTCAAGTGACAAATAACACGATGAAGGAGTAATTGAAATAAAATATGTAATTTTTTTTAAATTTCAGTGACTTATAACAAGATGATTTTGGTACCTGGTGAATTTAAAAATCCCGCTAATATTGTGACGCAAACTGGTGCTTGGAGCTCATTGGCTAAATTGGGCAATAGCTCGCCTATCTTTTTCCACCATAGCGACATCGCCAACGAAACATCGAATTTCAAAATTAAAATATCTACCCTTTGCCTGGGACTGTTCGATTGGGACGAATTGCGGTGGGAGATAAACTTCTCGAATTCTAATGCCTGCGTGAACAAAGCAACGTTTCGAAACACTTGAAGTACAAGGAGAGGGAACAAACATTAAATATTTCACGAAATAATTTGTAGCATTTTCAATCATTCTTTAATAATCATATTGATGGTACAAAACCATATTGATGAAGAATCTAAACATTGGCCCCAAACCGTCGATGTTTTTAAAACCTTAACCATAACTGTAGTTACTAATAATCAGTGCTCGGATTCTGATGACAAACATTCTTTGAAAATTAGCAATAGAATGTCTTAAAAATAAGAGGAAAATTATATTTTTTTAAATGCTCAAAAATTTGATTCTGAAAGAATCTCTCTGTTTATTTCTACAGTAATCATAAAATCTTTTCTTTACGCTACAAATAAGCATTTTATTAATTTCGTTTATTTTTTCCTCCATCGCAAATTTTGTTCGGATTATCCGAAATTTCGGATTTGCGGGGTTCGGATTAGCGACGTTTTTCTGTATATGCAACGTATACCCTGCCGCGTCGCGGGAAGTGTTGGAAAGAGGGATCTCCGTGCGAATGCGCAGATTCTCCACCCACGCGGAGGGCAAGGATTGGTGATATGTCCGAGACGGTAGTCGAACCGGATGAGGCCCTCCTTTCACCTCCGTCATGTATGAAATGTATATGAAGGGGAAAACACTTAAACATTTTTTCTTCAAATTTTCATATTTATCATTAAATTGTTATCACCAGGGCTGGGATTCTGTTGACATTTCATCTTTTGATTGGTATGCATTCTAGGCGTAGCTGGCTTGTAAATCAATGTTTATCGCGACGTTTAAGTGATGGAAATGTATAGTTATTGGGTCGTTTTTTTTTCAATTGATTGGTCATTTTTCGGGAAATTTTCCGCCATTTTTACGCATTTTGTTTCCTTTTCGTGTTTTTATTAGTGAATTCTTCATGCATTTACAGTGACTTACTAAAACTAAGTTTTTATTGTATCAGAAGTTCGACGAAATTCATTTCTGCAAATGACTGATTTTCGAATTTTGGAAAGTATATGGATCTTACAAAGTTCGTCGACCTTTCAAAACCGACGGCTGGAAAATCGCAGCTAAGGATTACATTTCCTCCTAAAGTGAAAACTTTATATTCAACTTAATTTTACGTAAATAAATATTATTTGAAATTGTATAATTCATTGAATAAGTAAACATTTTCATTCCCATTTTTTTAGTATTTTAAAAAAATGTCTTTATCTTCCCCTTATTTTTAATGTTTTGGGGTCATTTTCCTCATACTTTTAAGTCATTTTATAGGTCATTTTCAAAGAATTTTTAGGTCATCAGAATCCGAGCTCTGGTCATCACAACAGGCGAATGCCGGAACAGTACCCTGACACTCGGGCCAAGGTGCTCTCCTTTTTCTTCCTTGTCCTAACCTCACCCCTTGCACACATTTACACTATCACGCACTACACTACCACACATAAGGGAAGACCAATCGAAAGCTTGGAGCTTGTTCCAGCTGGGGGTGATGCCCCGCTGGTGGGAGATACCTGATTGGGGAAAACCCCGCTAGCTGTTGGTAGGTCGGCTGTGGATCTCACCATCCAGAGGAGAAGACCATTACCATCTCCAGAAGAAGACACATGTACTTCATTTACGAGACCAATGACTGTTGACGGAAACATTAATCAAGCAAGTACAAAGTCGCTTTTCCGGAATAATGTTGTAACGCAAAAAACATGATTTGTTCAGAAAATTCGTTTTAATTTCCGGGCAACTTCTGTTGCTTCCCATTCATCGACGATATACTAGTTGTAACAAAAAAATGATAACGTGACTTGTTTTTTAATTTATGAAAATGCTTCTTATAAAGCTTTGAATATTTGGATATCACGAACCCCGCACAATCTTTCCTTCGTTGTTTTCCTATCCTCACCCCTTGCACACATACTAACGTTTACTATACTTACACATGCCAGGAGACAGGTCGGGAGATAAGAGCTTGTTGCGACTGGGCTGCTCCGCCGCTGGAGGAGATACGTGGTTGGGGAACAAACTCGCTAGCTGACGGTAGTCTGCCGCCGCTTCTGACCATCCAGCGGAGTTAAACGCCATCTCCCGAGGAAACACACGCACTACACTTAGGAGACTAATGGCCTTGACCGAGGAGGCGTCAGTTCTCGGAGGCGATGCGGTCACGGCGCAGCTGAAGTTTGGCCGAAATGTCGGTCGGCCGGCTGGCTTCCGATTTTTCGACATTTGCTTCCGATTCGTTCAAACACGAATAGTGTTTGTGCTAGTAAATGGAAATGGGCGTATTAATCCAAACGACCTCTTCCGATAACATCAGCTGTCCGACGAAGATCTGTCGGTTCCATTCACCGGAGTTTTAGGAAAGTCAAGGCCATATGCGATACCAAGAACATTCGAAATACATGTACATTGTCTTGGAAGTGATTATCGCAAATGTTGCAAACAATGATCTGTGGAATTATGGGGATATTCGGACGATTTCGGGTCCAACATTCGGTTGTATTACGGATGAAATACAAGTCGGACGATTTCGCAGCGCTGTTGGCCGGTGGGGAGCGACCGATATTTCAGCTGCACTGTGGCTGTGAGCTGCAGAGGGCGGCCAGAGGAGTTTCCTTATGAGCGTTGTAAATGCTGTACAGTGATTGTTCAACTGTAAATTCTCTTGTAAATAGAAACTCGGTAAATAAATGTGAACTTACCATATCATTTAGAAAGCCGCATGCAAAATTCGCGAATATTTCAACTTACTTGTGGGCGCTTTCTCGGAAAGGCCGACTGTAGTGCCTCTGACCTGGAGATTCTACGGTTCGAATCCCGATGGGGTCAGAAT